GGAAGTGGCACTGTAGCTCAAGTGGTAGAGTGCTCGCCTTGAGCTGAAGAGCTGAGGGACAGTGCCCAGGCCCAGAGTTCAAGCCCCATGACCGACACTACCACTGAGCTACACCCCAGTCCCAAACCCTACTCTTGCCTCTACCTTTCCCCACGCCCACACGTGACCGCTTTCCCTTCTCTAGGAAACATGGCTGTACCACCTCACAGTGGCTGCAGGTGGCAGCAGTGCCAAGGTGGGCACTGTCTATGAGCAGCTCATTGGGAAACTGATGGATGATGAGGGAAACCCAGGTAAGGCCATCGCTGCATGACTTTCAGGAGGAAACGCTACTCTACCAGAAGCTGTGAAACACATCTAAGCTGCAAAGGGGGGCTCCCATCCCACTCCGGGCCCCTCTATCCTGGCCACAACCTTGAGGGGATCACGGTTATCTGGGGGAGTCTGTCTGGGAAACAGATTTTTCCCACAACCTGGGTAAATGTTTTACTCTGTTCAACTAGCAGCTTTTCTGGCTGGGCAGAGGACTAGGGGGAAAAGGTATGTGGTTAATCTATAGTTAAGAGTTTGTTAATCAATAAAGGAGGCCAAAGTTTGCAAAGGCTAACCTAAGCCTGTGGTGTTTTTGTTTTTTTGTTTTTTTTCAGGGTGGGGAGGGTGTCATTTATTTTGCTGCTGATTCTCAGGGTTCTCAGGAACTAACTACGGTTACATACCACTCTCAACACTATTACTGCTCCAAGGCTTCCCTGTTTCAGGCAGGCTGATGTTTATGTTCCTCCAACCAGACCTGGCACCGTAAGGGAAGGCCTTATGCACACACCCATAACCTTGCTCACTTACCCGCTGTTGCAGCTCCATTGTAGAGCAGTGGCTGCCTTCCTGCGCAGTCACACCTGTGACTGCACAACCAGATACCCCACAGTTAAACACTGCCCCTCCCACAAATCAAAGTTGGGATGTGGGGGGTGGGAAGTGAGCTCCTCCTTCCTAATAACTCCCACTGCTCTGTGTAGATTCTCCACTCTGGAGGCACCCCATGCTGTGCTACAGCAGAGATGGGCTCTGTACCTCCCTCACAACCCTGCCCTCCGAGGCCCTGCAGACGGAAGCCCTCAAGCTCTTCAAGGTAAAGTGGGAGAGGGGAGAGGGTCTCAGGCCCACCCACTGGTGGCGCACACACCATGTGCCTAGGCTCTGTCTGGAGCAGTTTTAGCCTACCATGGTGATGCATGGGTGGAAGAGACCTAACTAGGGAGAAGCCCACAGGGCTGGCTCGGGGAGCAAGGGAGAGAAGAGCCACAGGGTCCCTGCAGCTAGGGAGAGGCTGTCACTTGCTCTGGGAAATGCCAGAGAAAACTATTCCCTGAGTTGCCCTCCTCCTAAAATAATAGTAGGAAAAGCCAGGTTTATATTGCTTCTGCATCCTCAGAGACTCTGGTCTATTTTAGAATCTACTTTGTGCTTAAAAAAATTTTGTTTCTGGGCTGGGAAGGTGGCTCAGTGGTAGAGCGCTTGCTTTGCATGCATGAGGCCCTGGGTTCGATTCCTCAGCACCACATAAGCAAAAAGAAAAAAGCCAGAAGTGGCGCTGTGGCTCAAGTGGTAGAGCGCTAGCC